GAAGATAATTCAAAAATAGTTGCAGCAGTATATCAACAGGGAACTGTCGGAGATTCAAGCCAGATTTATAAGATGTGGAACAAGGGATATCGTTGCTGATGTTAGATGGATCATGGATGAAAACAGAGAATACCAGAAAGATTTTTACCTCTGTTAACTATGCAGAGGCATTCGACTGTGTGGATTATAATAAATTACAGCTAACATTAGGAAGAATGGGAATTCCAGAACACTTGATTGTGCTTATGTGGAACCTGTACATAGACCAAGAGGCAGTCAAAATTTCAGCAGAACAAGAGGATACTACATGATTTAAAATGAGGAAAGGTGTGTGTCAGGGTTGTAGCCTTTCACCATACTTACTCGATCTGTGTGCTAAGCAAATCCAAGAAGCTGGACTATATGAAGAATACAGCATCAGGATTGGAGGAAGACTCATTAACAACCTGCAATATGCAGATGACAACTTTGCTTGCTGAAAGTGAAAAAGACTTGAAACACTTACTGATGAACATCAAAGACTACAGTTCTCAGTATGGATTATACCTCAACATAAAATAAAAATCCTCACAAATGTATCAATAAGCAATATCATAAATGAAGAAAATACTGAAGTTGTCACAAATTTCAATTTACTTGGATCCACAATCCATACCTGTGATAGTTGGAGCTGTGTGTCAACTTGGCTGGACCACAATTCTGTGTGGTTTAAGCTGTTGTGATGTGGCTATTCCCATGATGGGATCAGATGATTATGTTCTGAGCAGGCAATCTGGTGAAAGGGAGTTTCCCTAGGGGTGTGGCTTGCTTCCAGTATATCCAAGGACATCCTGGGAAAAGAGACATTCTTCTGTGGATCAGGATTCTTTTGTGCTGCCTACAACTGTCTGTGAGTGAACAGTCCACCATTCGGCCTGGAGATCTTGAATTCGTCATTTGTTGGAGTCAACAGCCGGTGTACTGCGTGCCAGCCTTGAGCTCCTCAGCCCCTGCGGTTGCAAAAGTTGGGAAAATCCTCCAGCTTGACGTGGAAAAACCTCCAGCTTGATGCTTTATCAAGGAACTTTGGACTTGCCAACTTCTATAAGTGTGTGAACCATTTTCCTAAGATAAATTTCTCTCTATATATGCACATATATGTAAGCTTTACTGGTTTTTGTTTCTCTAGAGAACCCAGTCTAACACACCCATGGAAGCAGCAGTCAAGAAATCAAAGGATGTATTATTGCATTGGGCAAATCTGCTGCAAAAGACCCTTTTAAAGTGTTAAAAAGCAAAGATTTCACTTTGAAGACTTAAGGTGCACCTGGCCCAACCCATGTTATTTTCAGTCATCTCTTAGCATGGAAAAGCTGGAAAATGAAATGGAAGAAGAATTGATGCCTTTGAATTGTGGTGTTAGCAAAGAATATTGAGTGTTTCATGGACTGCCAGAAGAACGAACAAATCTGTCTTACAAGTATGGCCAGGTTGCTCCTTAGAAGGGAAGATGGTGAGATTTTGTTTCACATACTTTGGACTATCAGCAGGAGGGACCAGCCTCTGGAGAAGAACATCATACTTGGTAAAGTAGAGGGTCAGTGAAAAAGGGGAAGATGCTCAATGAGATGACACATTGGCTGCAATAATGGGGTCAAACATAGCAACCATTGTGAGGATGGTGCAGGACTGAGCATTGTTTTGTTCTGTTGTACATGGGGTCAGTATGCATTGGAATCGCCTCAGCAACACCTAACAAGAACAACAAATTTTATGTATTAACCACTGTTAATGAAGGGGGTGGTATGCAATATGGAATATACCTATTAGATTGAGATTGATTGACTTCTTAACCAGCATTGAAGTTCATCTAGTGTTGCCAAGCTTAGATATATAGTCCTAGAAGCATAATCTGTATGAGAATGGCCTTGTTATTCCCTAATTTGATGTTCTGGAGGAAGAAAATGAACATTATTTTTTAAAATGGGAGAGATATTTGGACAATAAGCAGAACATGGGTCTGGAAGAACACAAGATAGGATGAATTGTCATGAATAAATGAATGAATCTGACAATAGAACAAATTTGTAGCTTTCTATATCCTGAGTAGTGTCAAATGGAGCCTCCATTTGTTTGTTCATTCAACAAGTAATTGAGTGCCTTTTCTGTGCCGGTGTTGGATACCATGAACAAAATAGAATAATCTCCATCAGGATTTCAGAGTCTAGTAGAAAAGATAAGCACCAATCAAAGGACTATATGCAAGATCACTGCTAGCAAAAAACAAGTACAAAGGTGCTATGAGAGCGTATAACCAGGGACAGAAGAAGTAGTTTAGGGCTGGTCTCCCTGGAAAGGGTTGTTTAAGCTGAAACTAGAAAACTGAGTAGATGCTAGCTAAGCAAAGAATGGGATGAGGTTAAGAAATCTCTCAGTCACATTCAACTCAGTGGCAATGAGTTTGGTCAGTTTGGAATACAACTTCAAACTAGTTCATTCTGTTTCATCCCCTTGATGAGCATTTGCATTTCTGTCCAAGGTATACAGAATTAGGATATACATTTTGACAAGATCTCCAGGTGATTCTTATATATACAGTCATATGCCACATAACATCAGTTCAGGTAATGTCTGACCACATATATGTCCCATAAAGTTACAGTAAAAGCAGAAACCAAACCCACTGCCATTGAGTCAGTTCCAACTCATAGTAACCCTATAGGAAGAGTAGAACTGCTCCGTAGTTTGCAAGGCTGTAAATCTTCATGAAAGCAGACTGCCTCATCTTTCTCCTGTGGAGCAGCTGATGTGTTCGAACCACCAACCTTTTGGTTAGCAGCAGAAAGCTTTAACCACTGTACTACCAGATCTCCTTAAGATTATAGTAGAGGTTAGAAATCCTGCTTGGAGAATGAGATATAGTGAACACAACAGCTTCTCTCACAGAACACATGTATTTCATGTCTCTGGTATACAAAATAATTGCACTGCCAGGCGTATAATGGTACAGTAAGTATATAACCTATAATATGTATGTCTTGATAGCCTTAATAAATGTCTAACTGACTTATTTATGTACTATACTTTCTATCAAAAAAGTTTACTGTATAACTGTATGCTTCTATTCATAAGCAGCAGCATCCAGTCATGTGTATCACTTATCTCATGAGTGTTACAGTATTATCTCTGTTTAAATTTCTTTTGAAAATATTACTGTAAAGTACATCATGGCTCCCAAAGGCAGCAAAACCAGAGATAGTTATCGCAGCAGCAAGAGGCAAAGGAGAAGTATTGATTTGGAAGTGAAACAGGTTATTGAACAACATGAACATGGAAAATCATTGAATGCTATTGCTCACAATTTAGGCACGACACAGTTGACAATCATGATGATCCTCAAAAACAAAGAAAAAATTCTCCAAGCTGTTAAAGTGTCAGTTCCACTGAAAGCTACAAGGCTAAGTAAAATGTTAGAGGAACCTGTATCAGATAATAAAGAAATTGTTAATGACATGAATTGAAGACCAAATACAAAAGTGAATCCTGCTCAGAAAGTTACTGTTAAGGGATGAAACCTGTTTGAGGTGCTTTGAGAATTACAGAAGAAGTACACAGCCATTTAATTTGGGGTGAAAGACCTGAGTACTGCTTTTTTTTTCCCACTTACAGTAGCATTGTCTTTACTTAAAAAAAATCTCTTCATTCATCTTACGAGCAGCAGTAATATGATAGCTACCAGGTGCTATAGATTTTTCTAAAAAGTACTCAGGTCATCTTGAATCAGCCAAGAAGTAGTTGAGTAGAATAATTTCAGGAACTTTTGTTCTCATATTTTAATTTGATGAATTCCTTGGGTATGAGTCCATTTATGTTTTATAATTTCTTCAGCATACATAGTATATTGGAGTGAACAGTTTTGCTTTTCCTGCTTAACTGTCACTTAACAAATATTTATTGAACTTCTCCAGTGTGCCAAACACTGAGCTGATTATTAAATGCTAAGAAAATAGTTAACACTTGCATAGCACTTATGTACTATATGCCAGAAGTGTTCTAAGCACTTTATATCAAGTCACTGATCCTTAGAACAATTCTGTGAGATGGGCACTGTTATTTTCTCATCTTACAGATGAGGAAAATCAAGCACAGAAAGACTGCATAGCTGGCTGAAGGGTCACTCAGCTCGTGAGAAAGCGGAATTGGAACTTAAACCGTTTGGCTCAGGGTCTGCTCTCAACCACTCTGATACCCTCTAATGCTTCTTGGTCCACGCTTTAGACTATTATGAGCTGCCTTCACTTATAAGGAGCTCTGGTGGCACAGTGGTTAAAGCATTTGGCTCTAACTGGAAGGTTAGCAGTTCAAACCCACAAGCCACTCTGCACTAGTAAGACAAGGCAGTCTGTGTCCATAATGATTTACAGCTTTGGAAACCCTATGGGGCCATTCTGCTGTGCTCTATAAGATCACAATGAATTGTAATCAAGTTGATGGCAGTGGGTTTGTTTTGGTCACTTCTGTTGCATGCTTGTCTCATTTTGCATTTATGTGAGCATTTGAATTTTTGTTGTTTGTGGCTGATAATTGGTGAGTACTCTGACTCCTGCTGTATATGTGAGTGCATGACACATAGAAGAATTTGTGTGTGTTGAATGAATGATTATTGATAACCGAGAGAATTTTAAATGTCATGTTAAGAGAATTTGAACTTACCTTGATTGTTCTCTGATTAGCTGTGCAGAATAAAAAGCTAAAGGGTTATTGCTATATGACCTAGTCAGTGATAGCACCTGAGCGCTGAGGTCATACTCACATGTATTTATATACATTTACATTGTGCATTGAGAGGAAACAAGGGACAGAATGTCCCTCTCTGCCTTGATATTTAATCACTGGTGGTTGTGTTGTTAATAGGTGCCATACCTTCTTGCTCTGCTCTCCTCTTGTCCTCTCATGATTTGTCCTCTTATGTGTTGCTCCCTAGTCTGACTGACAGTACTGCACTCGCCTGCCTGCCTGCCATGGGCTGTCGGGATGTCCACGCAGCCACAGTCCTCTCCTTCCTGTGTGGAATTGCCTCTGTGGCAGGCCTCTTTGCAGGGACTCTGCTTCCGAACTGGAGAAAATTAAGACTGATCACATTCAACAGAAATGAGAAGAACCTAACCGTTTACACAGGCCTCTGGGTGAAGTGTGCCCGATACGACGGGAGCAGTGACTGCCTGATGTACGACACTACCTGGTACTCATCAGTTGACCAGCTGGACCTGCGGGTCCTCCAGTTTGCCCTGCCCCTCAGCATCCTGATTGCAATGGGTGCCCTGCTGCTTTGCCTGATTGGAATGTGTAACACAGCCTTCAGGTCCTCGGTGCCCAACATCAAACTGACCAAGTGTCTGGTCAATAGTGCAGGTTGTCACCTTGTGGCTGGGCTGCTATTTTTCCTGGCAGGTACTGTGAGCCTCTCCCCATCTATTTGGGTCATCTTTTACAACATCCATCTGAACAAGAAGTTTGAGCCAGTTTTTATGTTTGACTATGCAGTGTATGTCACTATTGCTAGTGCTGGGGGCCTGTTTATGACTGCCTTTCTCCTGTTTATTTGGTACTGTGCATGCAAATCTTTGCCTTCTCCTTTCTGGCAACCACTGTATTCTCATCCTTCCAGCATGCATACTTATTCCCAGCCCTATTCAGCACGCTCCCGCCTCTCTGCCATTGAAATTGACATTCCAGTAGTCTCACACACCACCTAGTGGGGAAACAGCTAATTGTTAAAGAAAACTTTTTGTAGCCTCACATTCCCTTGTGCACCATGCACCACAGGGAGCTTTTTTGGACATGTGGACATTTTCTTTTGTTCCTAACCAGTCAATGAAGCCAAATTTGTATGTCCTGGTAGAATGAATGCTGCTAGTTTTTATGCAAAGAACAGTATTTTAAATGTGAATCTTTTTCTTTTATCTTGCTTCTTACACTGGAAGGATTTTTAATCTCCGTATTGTTATTTGATCAGTTATGTAAGTGGAAAAGACCTGTGTCTCAGTTGAGGTGATTTAGGGTAACACGGTGAAGTGAAAATGGCCAAGAGAAGCTGTTGTATACAATCTTTATGAACATTTCAGACTATGTGTTGTCCTTTTTCTATACCTGAAATGGAAAAAGGCAATTCCAAATACAAGAAATTTGGTACGGGTTATATTTTAACAGTAGTCAGCCTGACAGCATTTTTTCACTCCTGTCTTGGGACCAATTATATTGAATAGGCTTAGGGATTTGGCATATTACTTTCTTTTGTGAGTTCCTTATCTTCTACCTCATGTCACTATTTAAAAATAAAATGTATTTGAAGTGCTATTAGTGAGAATAAGTCCAACATTTCTACTATATCAATTTTGGATAATATTTAACATAATTTAAAAAGCTGATGATTCTATACATTTTGTTATTGGAGTTAAAAGGTGCCATATGATGTGGATTGGTGCTTCCTCTGAAGTGGAAAAAAAACTTTTCTTCTAGATACCATCCACAGAGCGGATTTCATACCCATATATAATCTCTTAGTAGATGAGAGAAAGAAAGGGGTCCTAGTGGTTTCTTATCTTTTTGACGTAGTGGTTGAGTACAAGAGTATGTTTTTTGGTGATAATTACATCATCAGAGATACACACTGGTGACTGCCTTTTAAGTGACATCTAAAGTAAGTATGACTGTATCATAACCACATTCACACTTGATTCAGTTCCTGCCCCCACTACTAATTAATTTTGAGCATATTTCTTTGCCTAGTGCTTCAGTAGATGCTGTACAGGATCCAAAGGAACCCTGGTAGTGCAGTAGTAAAGCTCTTGTCTGCCAACTGAAAGATTGATAGTTTGAACCTACTAGTGGTTCTGCATGAGAGAAGATCCAGCAGTCTGCTTCTGTTGATTAATGACCAGCAAACCCTCCCAAGGGGCAGTGCTGCCCTGTCCTGTAGGGTTGCTGTGAGTCAGAATTGACTCAGGGGCACAGAATAACCATATAGAAGATCCATGAAAACTGTGAGATCTGGTCCCATCCACTAAGAAATTGCAATCTGATATAGAAGATCAAACTTATCTGACAATTGGACAGCTAACCTTCTCAATTATTGAACCAGGAGTATATTTCAAGTAGAGACATGGCTTTTTGGCAGGCAGGTTTATCACACAACACCAGCAATATCCTGAACCCTAGAAATTCAGCTTCATCAGTTCATTGAATCCTTCCAGTACGTACCTTACCCTACTTTCCATAATGACAGTATCAGATATATGGGAATGGGGCAAACGTGGTAGAGAAATGGGATTGTTCCCTTCCTGCCTCTTGAAAATATGATTTATGGAGGAGAGACAAGTTTTTAAAATCTCTCTTCTATAATAGGGTAACAATAAGGTGAAACCATGCTAACACTACAGTGAAAGCCTAGAAATTCAGGGATACTGGGTCTTTACCCTTATGAATTGGAGCTGTTTATTTAATTGATGTAACATTTTAGTGCTGTGTTCTATAAGGATTTTGTTATGTTAACCATTACAAATATTATAAAAAACTAATTGCATGGTGAATAGATTATGATGCCTCTTTTGCAAATCTGAGTATGGCACTGGTACTTGTGTGGATGTATGTAGTAAGCTTTATTATTCCAAGTTTATGTATGTAGCACATAAGTCCAGTTGTATAATTTATAAGTGCTATCAGTAGAAAGCATGCATGGTTGTTTCTTTTTTTAGTTATAGCTTCTAATTTCTTCTAATTCTTCTCAGGTGTAGCTAAATCTTGATCATTCCAAAACAGTGGCAGGTGGAATTTTGAGATCAATATTAATTTTTTCCCCTTTGCTAATTAACTTCAGACCTCTCTCTGTCTCTGAACTTTTGTCCAGAAGTGTCAGGAATTCCACCACCCCATTGTTCATTGTACAAACAAAGTTGAAAAGAAAATAGATCCAGCCATTAAAGATACTGAAGAGTTTTTAGTCTATGGGATCGTAAATGTAAGCATTAAGTTTTTACTGCAAAAATCTTTTGGCTTCAGAATCTGTAGCCTCAAATTAGTATATATTATGAATTCACCAGGCAAAGGAAACAGCTGTTTCCTGTATTGTCTTTTTTTATTTTTAAATATGTCAGAGTTGCTGTCATTAGCTATTCTTCAAAGCCATCAAAGGAAAGCAAGTATTTGCAATTCTTTTTAGGCACTTTTGAGTACTCATCAGGTTATCATTGTAATGGGGGGATACCTTTGTTGTTAAAAGCATATTAATTTTAAAGGCCTTTTAAGAAGTTAGCTTGGAAAACAACCTTAAATGTGGTATGATGCAGCAGATTTGGTTTATCCAGTCATGGGGGATGGGGGGAACACTAATTTTACTTTGTGTGTAAATATAAACTAATAATGGATAGTATGTTTGCTGTAAACTGCAATGTTAAACATTGATAAAACTGTACTGTATTTCTTGATGTTTATTAAAAGATGTATTTTTATAAGTTTCTGCTTCTATCTATTTGCCTCAGAGCTGCAAGGCACAATCTTTAAGAAATGTTTCTCAAATGCATGTAAATTGAGTCCTATTTAAAGCCCTATAGAATAGGAGCTCTGGTGGCATAGTGCCTCCTGCATTTGACTACTACCAGAAGGCAGTTCAAACTACCAGCCACTCCTTGGAAGGAAGGTTGGGCAATCTACTTCCGTAGTGACACCGCCTCGGAAACCCAAGGAGGGGTCATTATGAGTCAAAATCAACTCGATGGCAGTGAGTTTAGAATACGAATTGGAAAACATGAAATTCTGGAAGCACTAAGACTCTTCACCCATTCCTAAGAGGGGTCCCAGGAGTTCACTGGTCTGTTTTAACATTCCATGAAAAAGCACTGAATGAAGTCGATGAAGTCAGAGTTGCCTCATCAGTGGAGTTTTCTAAGGGTCTGTGATCTTGGGGACCTTTCCTTATATCTTGAGATTACCAGGAGAAGTTGTCTTCACAGGAAAGTCACTTCCAAGGCTCTGAAACCTGGGATGAGTTCTTATTCATTTACAGTCTCCTGGGGATAGTTCTGACATGTTCCTCACTGAAGCGCATGGATCTATGATAGTGTGTTAGACAGCAGAGCCATGTGTTTATACTGAAACTCAGACTGCTTCAGGCTTGGCGTCTTGAGCTGGTGACACAAAGCACTATGATTCAGGATCTGGCCTTCATTTTTTCAGGTTCACTGAGAGTGGCTAACTGCTAGAGAATCCCTTCATGCTAGCCAGTTCAGAAGAGACTTACCAACCAGAAATGAGAAATGCAGATTACTTGCAACCACTATCCAAGACCAGTTTTTCAAAATACACTCTACACAGAGCTTCTTATTCTGCCAGAAAGTAAGGAAATGCTCAGAGAGTGATGGGGGCTTATCGAATGACATAGGAGCTGGCTTGAAGAGGTTCTCATTAGCCAAGTATGGGACAATTTGAGCATCAAAATTAATAATGGGTTACAATCCATTGGCTAAAATAAAGATCCAGTTATACATAATACTCTAGATAAATGGGGGGAGGGCCTTTAGTGGCTCTAGTGACCCCGCTCTGGAGCAATCAGGCTCCCAGAAAGGCCATCTTCATCCTCACCTGCTAACCTGCTTTTGCTTTACAAGAGCTTAAAGATGGAATGTTGAGCCGGCTCAAACTGACCCACCAAGAGTTGATTTTGCACATCACTTCCCAGCTCCTCATTCTGTGGCATAATGGTGGTAGTATGGAATTGGCCATGATGGAAATATTTATGCTGTTTGTTGTTAGGTGCCATCAAGTCAGCTCTGACTCGTAGCGACCCTATGTACGATAGAAACACTGTCCAGCCATATACCATCCTCACGATCCTCCGATACCCGAGCCCATCATTGCAACCGCTGTGTCAGTCCATCTCATTGAGGGCCTTCCCCTTTTTCACTGACCCTCCACATTACCAAACATGATATCCTTCTCCAGGGAATGGTCCCTTCTGATAATAGGACAAAAGTAGGTTGAGACAAAGTCTGGCCATTCTGGCTTCCAAGGAGCATTCCAGCTGTACTTCTTCCAGGCCAGGTCTGTTTGTTCATCTGGCAGTCCATGGTACTTTAAGTATTCTTTGCCAACACCATGAATCAGAAATATCAACTCTTCTTGGATCTTCCTTGTTCATTGTCCAGCTTTCACATTAATATGAAGCTATTGAAAATACCATGGTTTGGGTCAGGAGCACGTTAGTCTTCAAAGAGACATCTTTGCTCTTCAGCACTTTAAAGAGATCTTTTGCAGCAGATTTGGCCAGGGCAATATGACATCTGATTGCTTGACTGCTGCTTCTATGGGTGTTGATTTTGGACCACGTAATAGGAAATCTTTGACAACTTCAATCTTTTCTCCATTTATCATGATGTAGAAATTGGCAAATGTTACAAATTAAGGTCACTTATTTAGAGCTGGTTGTTGAACATTTACCTGCACACCATTGGTCAGGAGTGATTAATTTGCTGAGCTTCAGATTAGTTGATAAAGAAATTAGGAGTCAAAGTGTTGAGAGCTATAAAATTTTATCTGTGATTCAAACCTATTCAGACTATCTGAAATAGCTTCTAGAGGCCTGTCTCCAGTACTGCTCTATCATCCTCCCTACTGCCAATCCCCTCTATACACAAGCAACAGAATGTTGTTGTTGTTGTTAAGTGCCGTTGAGTCGTTTCCGACTCACAGTGACCCCATGCACAGCAGAACAAAACACTGCCTGATCCTGCGCCAGCCCCACAGTCCCTGCTA